CCCCCCCCCCCCGGGACGGCCAGCTCACCTGCAGCTGGGAGTGGTGGTACATCCACCGGAGGGCGGCCGAGGTCATGCTGGGGGCGCTGCCGCGGTATGCGGCCTGCAGGGCCTTCTCCACCAGGGCAATGGCCTCGAAGTGGTGCTCCTTCCAGAAGCTGCGCAGGTGAAGGGGGTGGAACAAGGGTCAATAACCAGGGGTCACATTGGGGCTACAGCCACAAAGCCAAGCACGGCAGCTGTGTCCACCCAACTCGGCGGGGACAAGTGCCGAGCGTTCTTCTAGCAGTGGGCCAGCCTGATTGGGCAGCAGAGCCACCAGGCACAGGAGGCAGCTAGAGGGGCCTCCCCGAACACCGCAGAGACATCTTTAATCTCTTTATGATTTCTTAAGACCTCATAACGCCTGCCCACTTTACCTAGTGAAGCAAAGGTAACAAGATGGTGGGGGGGTGGGGCAGGACTCGGCCCCAGGCCTCCTGAGCGTGGATCCAGGGCTTGCTCTTTCCTTCCTGGCAAGTGGTATGCCCTTCTCAGGGAAGCGCTAGGCCTTGGAAGACCCAGTATAAGACCCAGGGGTCGCCATTTGCTCACAGAGCTCCCAAGAAAACAAGAAACGCCGCAGAATTTGGTCATTTCTGCAGGAATCAAGACATGGGTCCAGACAGCAGGGAAGACTTGGAACTCCCAGGAAAACTGCCTAGAATTTCTCCACGTCTGATAAAGGGGACCCTGCCCCCCACCCATCCTGATGCAGCCCATCCCCTGCTCACCGATTCCTGTAGGTCTCAGCCCAGTCATTCCCGAAGAAGCGGCCCACGGGCTGTTTCCCATCCTTGTCCTCATACTTGTACTTGCCTGTCAGCAGGCCCCCTGCGGGGAGACTGACATCAGAGCCCCAGGCCCACCCTGCTCCCAGAGGCTGTTATGGACTGGCGGGGGCGGTGGCGGGGGGACAAAGGTGTGGGACCTAGGAGGGATGGAAGACACGGCCCAGTCTATTTTCAAACCCCTCCCCGCTTCCCAGGGCCTGGGCCAGGCATCTACTGTGTCAGGAAGAGGCAGAGACAGGGCCAGGATTGGCCTCCCACCCCAGGGGGAGCCTGCCCCCAGAGCAGCCCGTACCAGCTAAAGGGTTGTAGGCATAGAACCTCAATCCGAAGTGCCTGAGGCAGGGGAAGAGCTCCGTTTCCACCTGCCGGGTGGTAGCATTGTACATACCCTGTGGGTAGAAGGTTGCTAGTGTCAAGGGAAGGAACCGCAGCCTGTTTTGTTTTTTTTTTTAATTTAAATTCAATTAACATATAACGTATTATTAATTTCAGAGGTAGAGGTCAGTGATTCATCAGTCTTCTATAGCACCCACTGGTCATTACATCACGAGCCCTCCTTCATGCCTGTCACCCATTTACTCCATCCCCCCACTCCTTCAGCAACCCTGTTTGTTTCCTGTGATTAAGAGTATCTTATGGTTTGTCTCCCTCTCTGATTATCTTATTTTTTCCTCTCTTCCCCTATGATCCTGTTTTGTTTCTTAAATTCCACATGAGTGAGATCATATAATTATCTTTCTCTGACTTATTTTCCTCAGCATAATACCCTCTAGTTCCATCCATGTTGTTGCAAATGGCAAGATTTCATTTTTTTGATGGCTGAGTAGTATTCCATTGTGTATATATATTACATCTTCTTCATTCATTCATTCATCTGTTGATGGACATCTGGGCTCTTCCTATGGTTTGGCTATTGTGGACATCGCTGCCATAAACATTGGGGTGCAGGTGCCCCTTCAGATTACTACCTTTCTATCTTTGAGGTAAATCCATAGTAGTGCAATTGCTGCATTGTAGGGTAGCTCTATTTTCAGCTTTTTGAGGAAACTCCATACTGTTTTCCAGGGTGAATGTGATGAGGGAACAGATGAGGACAAAGCAGATGCTGACACCCCACAACCCCCCACAACCCCAGATGGGATATATGTGACATTCCTCAGGCACTCCTGGTTGCCCTAAAGCTAAGGAAAGGAAAAACAAAGAGTTACCTTACAGAGATCATAATCCTGCAAGACCCCAGCCTCCCTCAGTTTACAAATGTCTTAGCAATCTACAAGAACAAAGCATTTCTATCAATAACCTAGCTTCCAGAAGGAAATGTAGATACAATTAAATGTCCTTATAACCTGCAGGCCATTGACAGATACTTGAAGGGGGCAGAGTGTAATGTTCCTCCAGGAAGCTCCCAACTATCTTCATGTTAATGCCTTGCTAGAGGGAAAAACCACCTTAACTTGACAATGGCAAGGCCTCCGTATCCTGTGAGTCCTCTTAACATATGAAAATCCTTTTGAAACCTCCCTTTTCCTTACCTCCCCGAACCCCATAGTATATAATCAGCCACCCCTCAACCCCGGTGCAGCAGCTCTTTCTGCCTACAGGTCCTGTCCCCATGCTTTAATAAACCACCATTTTGCACCAAAGACATCTCAAGAATTCTTTCTTGGTCTTCTGCTCTGGACCTCACTCCACTGAACCTCACCTATGTTCCAGAACCTCATCAGATGCACCAGCTTGCATTCTCACCAACAGTGTAAGAGGGTTCCCCTTTCTCCACATCCTCGCCAACATCTATCATTTCCTGACTTAATATTAGCCATTCTGACTGGTGTGAGGTGGTATCTCATTGTGGTTTTGATTTGGATTTCCCTGATGCTGAGTGATGTTGAGCACTTTTTCATATGTCTGTTGGCCATTTGGATGTCTTCTTTGGAGAAATGCCTGTTCATGTCTTCTGCCCATTTCTTGATTGGATTATTTGTTCTTTGGGTGTTGAGTTTGATAAGTTCTTTATAGATTTTGGATACTAGCCCTTTATCTGATAAGTCATTTATAAATATCTTCTCCCATTCTGTCGGTTGTCTTTTGTTTGGTTGTTTTTTGGTTTTGTCGACTGTTTCCTTTGCTGTGCAAAAGCTTTTTATCTTGACGAAGTCCCAATGGTTCATTTTTGCCCTTGCTTCCCTTGCCTTTGAAGTCGTGTCTAGCAAGAAGGTGCTGTGGCCGAGATCACAGAGTTTGCTGCCTATGTTCTCCTCTAGGATTTTGATGGATTCCTATCTCACATTTAGGTCTTTCTTCCATTTTGAGTCTATTTTTGTGTATGATGTAAGGAAATGGTCCAGTTTCATTCTTCTGCATGTGGCTATCCTTTTTTTTTTTTTAAGATTTATTTATTTGAGAGAAAAAGAGCACATGTGTGTGGGGGGGGGGCGGGGGGGGCGCAGAGGGAGAGGGAGAGAAACTCAAGCAGACTTCACGCTGAGTATGGAGCTCAATGTGGGACTCAATTTCACAACCCCCAAATTAGACCTGAGTCGAAACCAAGAGTTGAACGCTTTAACTGACTGTGCCACCCAGGTGCCCCACCCCCTCCCAGGCTTCTTTTGAAACTATCAGTCAAAAACCTGCCCAGGACTTCAGCAATGATTTCCCAAATCACTAGTGGTAGCAGTGGATGGGGAGATGGTGCTGGGCCCAAGGTAGGGAAACTGGACTGGTTATATCATTCCACAGATATCTATTGTTGCCAAACACAAGCAAGTCCAGCCAGGTTTCTGCTTCTGCCTCCCACAGATGTTAAAGCCATTAAAAACAAAGAAAGAAGTGTCATCGATAGATGAATGGATAGAGAAAATGTGGTATATATACACAATGGGGGATTGCTCGGCCATATAAAAAAGAAGGAGATCTTGCCTTATGTGATGACATGGAGGAATCTACAGAGTGTAAGTGAAAGAAGCCAAAGAAAGACAAATACTGTATGGTTTCATTTACATGTGGAATCTAAAAAACAAAACAAAAGACCAGAAACAGATCCAAATATACAGAGAGCAAATTGCCAGTGGTCAGAAGGGAGGGCAGGGATCGGGAGCTACAGGCTTCTAGTTGGAACGAGCAGGGATGAAAGGTACAGCAGAGGGAATATAGTAGATGGTATTATATGTAACAGCTTGCACGCCAACCACCTGTGGTGAGCACAGCACCACATAGACTATGTTGCACACCTGAAACTAACATTGCGTGTCAACTCTACTTCAATTAAAAAGATACACACAGAAAGAAGACAGACGATCACAATAGAGGTGGGCTGTGTGATCACAGCAGATGCTTACAAATACTTGCTGAATGCATGAAAATGAAGTCAATAGTGGAGGCTCCTCTGGGGCATCGGGAAAGGCTTCCAGGGGACGAGCCATCTAAGTGAGGCCTGAGCACTTCTACCGGGGGGGAAGGGGAAGAAAGGTCCAGGCTCACGCCCACAGCCAGGGGGCAGGAAGGAAGGGCCTGTGGAGCACGTTCAGGTAGGAAGGGGAGCCAGGGCCAGAGCGAGCAGGTGCCTGCTGGCCAAGCTGAGGAGCTTGCACGTCATCCCCACGACACAGGCTGTCAGCAGGGGAGTGGCTGCGATGGAGAGGAGGCAGTGGGAGGGGCCGAGAGAACCGGGGATCAGCCGGGCCCCCCGCAGCCCTGGCCCTCACCTGGTACACAGTGGGCAGGAACCAGCCGTTCCTCCTGCAGAGGGTGCAGATCTCGGCCACCTCCCAGGCGGCATAGTTGGAGAGGCCAAGCTCCACGAACTTGCCCTGCAGGGGAGAGGCCTTGGTCAGAACCCACCGCGGCCCAGCACACTGCAAAGGGGAGACGGGGGTGGGGACCCTGGGAGTGGGGTCTTCCCCGGCTCTGCTCTGGGACGACCCTGGTGCCTCCACTCTCCTGGAGCTCAGGGGCCCGCCTCACCTCCTGGTGCAGCTGGTGGCAGGCATGCAGCGTCTCCTCCACGGGGGTGTCGTGGTCAGGGACATGTAGGTAGAAGAGGTCCACCCGGGGGCACTGCAGCCGTTTCAGGGATGTCTCCAGCTGGGCCCGGACACTGTCAGGCTTCAGCGACTTCCCTTCCCAGGGATTGGCCTTGGTAGCGATTTTCACTTTGAGGGGAGTATGCAATGGTTACAAGGCTTATTACGTGACCCTGTCTAAATTATTTCAGTTCTCTGAGCCTCCATTCTCTAATCTGTAAAATGGGGGTATAACAACGGAACTGTCCTCCTAGCGAGATCATGAGCACTAAATATGCAAGTTCTCAATGTTCACGTTTGTTATAATCACTAGTATTAGTCAGCATGATAGGCCCTGCCTGGAGGCACACTTGCTCCCTCCCCTCAAGGAGCTCACAGCCTAAAGGTGATGTTACGATAAGGTAAGTGCAATAGAGAAAAGCCCCTAGTGCTAAAGGAGCCCCGAGTAGAGGAGTGTGGCCATCCTGGGAATTCTAGGGAGGGCTTCCCATGGGGATGACCCAGGAGCTGAGTCTCTAAGAATGAGTCCCAGCCAACAGGGAAGGATGGGAAGCATATTCCAGAGCCTGGGAAGATGGAGTCACAAAGGAACACACATAGTACGTGGAGGCCCATTCCTGCAATTCGGAGTTATAAGAGCATTGACTCCAGGTAGGGAGCAGTGGGACAGGGGGCCAAGAGAAGGGTGACAGACCTAATCGCAAATCCCATCAACCAAAGTCAGCTACATTCACTGTGTCTGTGGTCGGGAGGGCACTCAAGGGGGCAGGCCTGGAAACAGGAAGGCAAGAGGCTGAGGCGAGAATTCTGCAGAGATACCGCGGACCAACCAGGCACCGCGGGCAGAGATCAATCTGAGAGGCAGATACAAGGCAAAAGGAGCAGAAGCTGGTTATCGACCCCCCGCCCCTTCAGACTCAGAGAAGCTCGCACACCCACACCCCCACTGGGGAGACACAATTCCCATGAGAATGAAACAGTGTTCTGCCAAAGCAGCCCCGAAGGGCCATCAAGTACACCAGCTGTCTGGATTTTGTACTTTTCACACCCGGCAAAGGCAACTCAGCAGGTCAAAGGGGAGGCACATGACCGCTCGGGATGTGGGAGAGAACCAGTCCCACAGCTTCTTGTGCACATTTTCTCCATGTCACCACAATTCTCAAATCCTCTGCACTCTTGGTGTGGATTTTGCCTCAAGTCCAACGTGTGGACTTTGGCTCAGTGAGTGCCTGGACTCAACGAAGGAAGCAGGGAAGGGCTGGAGGAGAAGAACCAATTCAGAAACAAAATCTCCATTATTAAGGAGGGGGCAGCAGGGTTAACTAGAGAGCGTGGGCCTGAGAGGCAGCTTCCTCCAGATCTACCAAGCTCTGAATCAAAGGAGGACCCAGGGGGGCTCCCGCACAAGAGCTGGGAAGGGCAGAAAAGCAGCAGAGTATGGTAGTAAAAATAACAGTGAACATTTACTGGGCCCCACGGATGTGGGAAACAAAAGAAAAAATTAAATTTCCTGACATGTCCTTGAAACAGGCAGGGGGACATTCCTCTAGGAACTCAGCTGCTTCGCTGTTAATACTTTGCTAAGGGCAAGAGGTAATCTTAGCCTGACCACTCCTCCCCTCCTTTCCCCAGGATCCTGTAAGTCTACTTTAACATATAAAAATTCCTTTGGAAACTTCCTTTATCTCTACCCCCGCAAGATACATGTTGGTAATCATCCTCCAAGCGTATGTCCCACTGATACACATCTGAAGGGTCTCATGACTGAGTCTTTACTAAACAGTAATAAATGAACTTTTCTTTTTTTTTTTTTAAGATTTATTTATTTTAGGGGCAGGAGCAGAGGCAAGAAAGAGAATCTTAAGCAGACTCCGCACTGAGCAAGGAGCCCAACATGGAGCTCAATCCCACGACCCTGAGGTCACGACCTCAAGAAACCAACCGACTTAACCAACTGCGACACCCAGGTGCCCCATGACCTTTTCCTAACAATAGCTAGCCCCCTCAAAGTCCTGGAAACCTTGTTTCCAAAATATCTTGGAGGACTGTGCTGTCCCTAACGCCCTCCCAACTTGAAAAAATATAATCAGTCACCCATCACAACCCCAGTGCTGTTCTTTCTGCTCACCGGTCCTGTACCCATACTTCGATAAAACCATCTTCTTACACCGAAGAAGTCTCAAGAATCTCAAGAATTCTTTCCTGGCGGGCAGCTCTAAACCTCATTTTCCTATATAGCCACCACGATCCAGGCACCCTCCTAGGCATTTCCAATGGCATCAGGCTGATGAGGGACAGCCCCTCCCACGAACCTACATCCTCCACCCAAGCCACACCTGTCTACTGGCCGTCCCTCCACATACCAGACACTACATTTCCAAACCTGGTCTGCACAGCTCTGCCCTCAGCCTTTGATGCCCCTTTCTCCCATTCTCTTCCCAGCAAACTACTATTGATCCTTTAAGGCCCAGCTCCAGTGTTCTCTGAACCTTCTCTAGTGCCTTTCCCTGACCGCTTAATCCCCCCAAAGTGCTTCCTCTTCTGGGCTTCAACCTTCCCCATTAGACTCTAAGCTCCCTGCCGGTGGGTTGGAACCACTTTCCCTCCTATAGCCCCGTAACAAACCTCCCCACTCTGCAGGTACCACCCCTGATCCCCCAGCTTGGTTTGTGACCTAGTTGCAGCTCTCTCTGGGAGCCAGGGTACTGCCAACTGAACTGAGCAAAGGCTAGGCACTGATAAAAGCCCAGGATGAGAAGAGGGTGCTCGGGGAGCCACGGGCAGTGAGGGCAATGGGGAAGGGGGCGGTTTGGGGCACCTGGCAAGGTTCGAGGGGGTACTGCATAGCTCTGGAGACCACTGCCACAGAGAGGTGCCCCAAGAAAGCAAGGTGGGAGGAAGCGAAGGACTAGACCAGGCTCCGGGTAAGACTGGGGGTGGGGGGGGGGGGGAGAAGGTTCCTGAGTTGCAACTCCCAGAGTTGACAGAAGCTCGGGAGGGGAAGGAGATCAGAACAAAGCACTGTCCGGCTGTCCGGGACGACACGTGCACGGGGCCTGAGGAGCAGGGGGGTGGTCCAAGGGGCGGTCAGCTCCCGGGAGGGGCTGAAGCCGTCGGTCCTGACCGCGGGCCGGGCCACGGCTGGGGCCGGGTGGGCGTCGCCCGGTGCACAGGAAGGTAGGTAGAGGTTACCTCTGCAGTCGCCGCCGCCCAGCCCGAGGCCCAGGCCGCCCAGGATGCTCTCGGACTGGCCGTCGCTGTACATGAAGGCCGTGTCCAGCTCCGTGTGGCCGCGCTCCAGGAAGGCGCGCACGGCCGCGGCGCTGGCGGGCGCGTCCATGCGGCGCCCCATCTCCATGGTGCCTAGCACGGTGGCGGGCCAAACCGGGGCCCCGGAGGCGGCCTGCGGCGGCGACAGCGGCCGGGACATGGCGGCGGCGGCAGCAGCGGCGCGAAGCTCAGGCGCCGGGGAACCACGGACGCAGCGCACAGCGCCAGGGGCGACCACGCGAGACAAGGCGCTTAGCATGAGGTCGGCGCCTGCGCCCTGGGGCTCCTCGAGTCCCGCCCACCCCGCCGCGGGGGCGGAGCCGGGAGGCGGTGAGAGAACCAGGACAGGCCGCGCGCCGCCCCACCACGCACGCTCGGTTCGCTCGCACCGTTCGCACCGCCCCCAGGGACTGTCAGCTCCGTGCGCGGCGCAGGAGGCGGAGCCACGCGGCTCAGGGACAGGGGCGGGGCGGGGCGGGGCTTCGGGTCAGCTGACCGAGGCTGTGCAGACAGAACCCAGAAGCCGGGACCGGCGGCTGATGTTGAAGCGGTGAGTTGGGTTTGAGGCTAGGGGCAAGCCCGAAGGCTGCGGGTGGGACTCTGGGCGTCGCTACCACATCTTTCCAACAACCTCTTCCAGCCCCTGGACCGTCTTGGGGCTTCTGTCCCCTCCTTGGGGCGCGAGATCCGGAGACGAGGCTCTGGGCCGGGATTAGGTGGCCCCTCGGGAACATACGTCCCCCTCCTGAGCATGGTCTCTCGGACCAGCCTGGCCAGGGTTTGGGGTCTGGGTCCTCTTTTCACCTTCTGGTTCTGGGGGATGGGCCCCATCGTTTCCAACGGCTTTGTTTTCCCCAGGGCAGGCAGGGGAGGGGGCCTCGCGGCGTTTGAGCGCTGACCCCAGCAGCTGCCCTGTCATTATCCCCGACAAACAGGCGGCCCGCGCTGGCCTTAGTCACCAGGCGGCCAAGGACCTGGAGGCCTGGAGCTGGTGGTAGCCACCAGCGGGGACTCCCCTCCCTTCCACATACACCGAGGTTCTGCTGCGAATCCCAGATTGCCCTCTCCCCTCCTCAGGCCTGGGACAAGTTTTGAAGTGTGTACATGGGGAGGCTGGGTTTGGAAGTGTGAGGACTGGCTTGGGTCTTGTCCATGCAACACTTAACCGAAAGCTGCTTTGCGCCAAGGACTGGGGGGAGGGTGGTGGAGGGACACACTACAACCAAAGCAGAGTAATAAGTGATCCCTGGCTATTACTGCTGAGTGTTTAATCTCTGCCAGGCACCATTCTAATCCCTTGGCCTGGATTATGTCATTTAATTCTGCAGTCGGTCTAGGAGGTGGGTATTTACCCATTGTACAGATTGGAATTCTGAGGCTCAGTCACTTGCTCTGGAATTCTATACTTGTGGGCATTAAGCAGGTCAGTTCCAGAGTGCTCTCTCCTCAAACTTAGGTCATCTGAGCCCACAGCTAGTTTCCTTCCTTCCTTCCCTCCCTTTCCTCTCTGTCTCCCTCTTTCTCTGTCTCCTCTCTTCCTCAGCACTGTCTGAACCTTTACTGTGCAGCTGGTGTTGCTGGCCCCAAGAGTCAGTCACGGCTAGGGTGAAGGGAGAGGTGTGGGCTTGAGGAGCAGGAGTAGCTGAGGACTGTGATAAGCATTCTTCAGATATGTGAAGGGGAAGGGAAGAGGTGACAGGTATCATCCAGCCAGCCTTTGCAAGGCGTCTTTGAGATGGCACGTTAGAACCCTGTCTCCTTACCAGGCCCTCCAGAGGGAGAAGGACACACTCCTAAGGGAAGAGACTATACGTGCAGAAGCCTGGAGGCCTGCCGCTTCCATGGGAAGCTTCCATGGGAAGCATTTCCCTGACTCAGCTTGGGTCCAGTAGAGGAGCTTGGGTGTGGCCTGAGATGCCTTCTCCATTGTAGGCTTTCTCAAAGCCTGGCCACATGCATCAGAATCAGCTGGGGTTGCCTTTTTTTTTTTTTTTAAGATTTTATTTTTAAGTAATCTCTACACCCAACATGGGACTTGAACTCACAACCCTGAGATCAAGAGTCGCGTGCCTTACCGACTGAGCCAGCCAGGCACCCCTGGGGTTGCTTCTTAAACCCGAAGTCCCTGAAGTCCAGAGAGACACTGAGCCTGAATTCTGGGCATGTGCCCTGCGTGGTTCCAAGGCACCCACCCTTGCTGTGGTCCTTGTCAAACCTATGGATGCAGTCAAGCTTTGTTGCAACCCTGGACATCCATCCTCGAAGTGCTGTTTGACCAGGAGGTGGGCCCATTCCCAGAAGCCAGGCCTGGGGCCCAGGCTGGCTCCCTAGCTGGGTCAGAACCTCCAGATGATGGGCCCTGTGTGCAGCGGCCCCCAGAGGAAGGCCCCTTCTGGTCGGGATTCAGGCGTGTCTCAGAGTGTTCCGGGCTGTGCATATGCCCTGTGCAAGATCAGGGACCACCCACCCCATGCTCTGGGCCCTGTGAGCCAAGCTACAATCCTCCAGACACCCCCTTCCCTCACTGGGCATGTGTTCATTTCATTTCCTCCCTAACCTGGTGAAAAGGGGGCGACAGAGTGGCCTCAGGGTGGTTGAGCTCCTGGACTCTCATCCTCACAACAGCCTCCAGCATGGTTCGGTCAGGCCCGGGGCAGAGAGCCTTCCTTATGTGCATTTCATCTGCACCGCCAACCCCAAGGAGCCAGGGTCATCACCCCCATTTTACAGACAAGGCTCAGACAGGTTCCTCACTCGGCCAAGGTGACCCAGCCTTACCTGGGAAATGGGGGCAGTCTGCCCCACCTCACAGGGAAGTTACGAGGGTGGCTGTGTATTACGGTGATGAAAGGGACAGGCACACAGAATCTGTAAGAGGGCAACCGGGGGGAGCAAAAGGACTTGCTTTTTTTTTTTAAGATTTTATTTATTTGACAGAGAGAGTGCGCACAAGCAGGGGGAGCAGCAGGGAGAGGGAGAAACTGAAGGTAGCTGGAGAGAGCCTCAGTCTGGTGAGGAAAGCCTCTGAGCACGGGACAGGAAGGGGAAGCCTGCCTTCTGGCTGCTGGAGAGCTTGGGCAGTCTGCCAGACCACAGGTGGGGTGGGGGGTTCTGCCGCATCCAGGGACAGAAGCGCCTGAGGCAGCATGGCAGGGTGGCCAGGAGCCAGGGTTTGAGTCCCCGTCCTGGCTTTGACTCCTGCCTCTGTCGCTTCCTGGCTGGGTGCAAGTCACTTCCCTGGTTCCTTGGATGTATCAGGAGCCCCCCCAACTCCCCTTCATGGAGTTGATAGGACAAAATGAGTAAGATGCCTGCAAGGTGCTTAGCCCAGAACTGGTGACGAGCTTTGTAATCAGGGGCTATGGTGAGTCTCGCCTGGTAGAGATGGCACCATCTGGCTCCGCTTTCTCTTCCTTCTCTGGGACTGTCACACTGTGCAGTGTGTGACCGCTGTAATCACTGTGCAGGGTGCCCGGGCATCGGGAGGGGACTTTCCTGCCTGCTCCTGCTACCAGCCACTTTCTGGCTTTGTGGGTGGTGAGAATGGGCAGGTGGCTCCAGACTCCTCGCCAGCAGGCATCCCGCACACGCTGCTCCTGGAGAATTGTGCTTGAGTGCCGCGCTTGCATCCCAGCCACCTGTGCAAGCCCTGGACCCACCTGGCCCTTATTTTCCACGTGCCTCCTCTGACCCGTGTTGGTGGGCAGTCCTACTTCAATGAGAGAATGTACTTAATGGGGCCTGGTCTCCCCGGATGTAATTTACAAAACAGGAGATCAGAAACAACGTAAACGTTGGAGGGTTGTAACACAGTGAGCGGAGGGTTCACTGTATGAACTCATGTGACAGGACAACTATGAAGGAGGAGCTGTGATCACCCCTTTTACAGATGAGGGAACTGACGCACAGGGAGGCTGAGGCACTTGCCCAAAGTCGCAGCATTGAGGAGTGCAGCATTGAGTAGTGGCATCTACACACTTGTCCCTGACCGCAGATTGGGCCCTGTCCTTGCACAGGTCGTCTGTGTACTCGAAGCTGATTGTGCCCTTGCAGTTCAGAGGCTTGGTCCGGCCGCGTGATTAAAACTGGGGATGGGCGTAGCTGGGGGCGGGGCACAGGATCCAGACCTGCCAAGGCTAAAGGCCCCCTTCTCTTTCTCCCTGTACAACCCTCCCTGCATCCCGCAGCAGCCATGGTCTGGAAGAAACTGGGCTCCGGCAATTTCTCCGACTGCCCCAATGGCTCCCGCCAGTGGATATGGGACGTGTTTGGCGAATGTGCCCAGGACGGCTGGGACGAGGCCAGCGTGGGCCTGGGCTTGATCTCCATTGTCTGTTTTGCAGCATCCACCTTCCCGTGAGTAGTGGCCGGGGGGCGGGACCAGGATGGGGGGCGGGACCAGGACAGGGGGCGGGCTGGGGCGATGGCTTCAGGCACTGCCTGGAGGAGGGTCTGCCTGACCTGCCTTGGGCCTCTCCAGACTCAAGGCCAAATGTACTCCCACTCACTGATTTCCAGCCCACCCTGGAGGGCCCTGCCCTGGAGCCCACCCTAGGGCTCGCCTTGGCTGGGCAATGCCAACACACAGATGATAGTAACAGTATTAACCCTTAGTGCTGTTTGTTCAGTGCACGCTACGTACCTCAGTTCTGAGCACTTGACATGTTTTTACCTCATTTAAGCCTCATAACCCTGTGAAATAAGTAGTTACTGTCCCTATTTATGAGGGAACAGAAAGCCAGAGAGACTAAGTCACTTGTTCTAGGTTGCACAGCTAAGAAGAAAGGAAGCAGTGGGCGCCTGGGT